CTCGGGGGTTCTTTGATCCGTTCATTCTCCAAACCTGTCGGGTACCTGCTGGGTGCCAGGCGGTGACAGGGACCTGGGCCATGCAGCCAGGGACAGGGGAGGAGAAGGCGGGGGTCTTCCTGGAGGAGGCAGCGCTCACCTGGTGGGAGCAGCGGGTGGTGACAGCCTTTACTTTCTCCCGGGCAGGAGTGGCCGCGGTGCTCCGGGCTGCAGCATGTCGCCGCACGCCTGGCAGTGGCCGGATGAGGACCGCGCGAGCATCGGGCCCGTGTCCTCCGTCAACAGCTTTGACCCGTCCCCGAGTGGGTGCGACGTGGAGCAGTCCCTCAAGGCCAGGGCCAGGGCCCAGGAGTCCGCCTCTGACTTCCGGGGCAGCAGCGTGGGGTCCTGGGAAGAGGCTGCCGGCACCTTCCGCTCCGACATGCCCCAGGCTGTGGCCTGCAAGTTCGTCGTCTCGCTGGCCTTCCCCCTGCGCACGGGTAGGTGCTGGACCCGCTTCTGACGTCCTCTGCGGAAAGGAGGTGCAGTCACGGCTTCCTCCCAGGAGTTCGGGGCGCAGATGTCCCCATCCTCCCTCCACCATCAGCGCCCCCCTCCCAGGTGCGGTGGCGGATGCCAGTCCGGAGCAGAAGTCGAAAAAAAGCAATTTTGGGGGCCCAACTGTGGTTGCGTGGGCTTTGACTCACTCAATCCTCTCAGCAACCCTAAGACGCAGGTGACGTTCTGTGTGTTTTTTCCAGACGAGGAAACCACAGAGAGGTCAAGTAAGGCAGCGATCGGTTCCCATAAACTGCTTGTGCGTCACCTACTACCTTGTTGAAAATACGTTTTCTCCCATCTATTGAATCAAACTCTGAATGTAAAGGTGTTAATCACTTAGCTCTTGACAGAAACATGCTGTGCGACGAGCCCCCAAGATCAGTGGCTGCAAACAGGAATCGGATGTCCTGGATGTGCGGGTCGCTGATCTAGGCTGGGTCCTGCTTCCTGCCGTTTGTCCTCCTCCCGGACACGGACACCTTCTTCCATGGAGACGCAGATACACTCAGCGGATAGAACAGCTGCTAGTGGTTTATTGGCCAAAGCAAGTCAAGGGGTTCAACCCCAACATGAGGGGCAGAGAAAACCACTTCACCTCCTGATAGACCTCGATTTTTTTTTT